ACGAGCTGTTTCACGTGATCGAACTCCACGGATGACGAGTTTGCTCGTCGAGCGAAATATATATATATATATATATTTCGATCGACGAGCAAACTCGTCATCCGTGGAATTCGATCACGTGAAACAGCTCGTTAAATTTTATGCATCGGCGAATTTGATTTTGCCAGCCCGAGGATTACCGTGTTGCCGATGGCCGTATCGACGATTTCTCAACGCCTCGCCCCCATTAACGAGTGATATTTCGCGAGAGGACGAGAGTAACGTAGCGTTAAAAAAAGAAAAAAGCGAATTTCAAATCCTCGCGTTAAATTATTTATTTCTTCTTCGATCGAAATATCGATCCGAAAAATTTCCATTTCTCGTTCGAAACTTGCTCTTAATTACTCAACTTTCTGTTCGAACAGAAAAATTGACGAAGATTAATAATAAAGATAATTATAATTACGATTCCATGACCAGGTTCAAGAAATACAGGCTCGAAAGAAGACTGTATTACAATGACAAGCGCATCTTTATGAATTTCTCCGGCGCAAGATCGGCGGAAATATATTATCCGAACGGGAGCCTTGCCATTAAATTCAGCAGGCCGCCGGAGCGAGACTGTAATTATCAATATTACCATTCCGTAAATCGATGATCTCGTTGAAGGTTGAACGAGAACGATATTTGAAAATTGGGACAATTTTCGAAATCTTCCGATATTTCCCCCTGCGCGATCTTGAAAATTTAGAATCTCGAATTTGGAAAAGGATTTCTCGAACCTTCAGCTCGGATGATCGATCGTGCCAAGGGGCTGCCAAAAAAAGAAAAAAAAAGAGGAAAATAATAATCGTTTCGAGGGAACGACTGATCGATAATATAATTAATAAATAATTAATAATGTGAATAATTATTATTTTTTCGGCAACCCTGATTGACGCGATTATCGAGAGGAACGAGCGAGCAGGGGAAGAAAAAAAAGGAATGATCGGAAAAATCGATTTCAAGACGATATGTATACTGTATTCAGCCCAGGAGGAAAAGATTTCATGGGCGTGAAGAGGAGGCCCCAGATCATCGCTGTATTCGACACGATGGGGAACGGCGCCGTGTTCGACGAGGAAGGAAGGACGAGGTCCGTGTTCGAAAACAATTCTCACCTCCCCCCCCTTTGGAATTTTTAATCAACGTCGTTCCGTTCCAACTCTTTCTCACGAACTTTGCTCTCTTGTTTCAAGGATTTCGTTCAATCAGATCGGGGGTGTTTGGAAGGATAATCCGACCAGGATCCCCCTCACGTGGAGGTGGGACATATTCGAGAGGACGCCGATACTGGAGAACGTGTACGTGGTGGGTGAGAGAAATCGATCTCCTTTTGTAAATTTTTGGTAGTAAAATTGATCAACGACAAGCTTTGTTATCCTTTTTTTCTGTTCCCCTTTTCGCAGGAGAAATCCGCGGCCCATTTGGAGAAATATTTCTACCCGCCGACGATGAAGGTGTTCAGGAGGTAAGGGGATATTTCGAAGGAATTTTTGAATTTTTGAATTTTGAATTTGTTTTACGCGCAGCAACAAAGTGTCCACGCCGTCACTGATTTCGCGAAAGGAGAAGAGGGTGGAATACGTGAAACCTGTTTTCGAGGAGGAGTACGAGGAGGAGGAGGAGGAGGAGGAGGAGAAGGTGCAGGAGGTCGAGTCCGAGTACGTGAAGGGTTTCGAAGTTTTAATATTCTTTTTCCAACGATAAATAAGTTAGAATGAATAATCGATCTCTTCGAGATTTCATTCCCTCAATATTCAAGGAATTAAGAGATAAGAGAGAAGTGTTATGTTTCGTGTAATAGGCAAATTTACTCGAGCGATGCTTGCTACTTGAAACCGATCTTCGTGCAAATGAACGATTACATCAGTTTGAAAATTTTGAATCGGCGCACCGTCACCCTTCGATTCCTTGCCAACACGAAAAACGTCAGGTAAATGTTTCTCTTTTATAAATTTTAACAACACGTCTGTGATGATAATAATAATTGAGGCCGAGTGTCTTATTCGAACTTATTATATAGAATAGAGCTCGGCACGATCTTAAATTTAACCAAGGAAGTGGGATTCTACTTCGTGGATATGAGGGTGAAATTTAGTTTACTGAAGTGAGTTGAAAATTATAACCTAAAAGTTCCGATGATACGTCCATGTAATATTCTTTTTTTTCTTCTTTTTGTTCTTGCTCGCTAAAACAGATGCAAGTTCGACGATCCGATCCACATAAGGCCCGACAGCAGCGTGTACAACATATACAAGGAATTGGAAAAAATCAAAAAAATGGCCAAGCAACGGGAGCTCATGATGGAGAAGTACAGACCATACTTGCATACTTGGAAAATGATGGGGACCAGATGTCGTCCCCGATAATTCCACGTCCGTTTCCACCTCCAATTCCCTCGAGACTGTCCTTGTTTTTTTCTCTTTGACGAAAATAAGTAAGATAAAAAAGTATCCTGGGAAAAAGAAGGAGTAATATAAGGGATCATTACATTACGCATTAGGATTTATATAAATAAAAATGAGTATGTAATTGAAATAATCATGAAGTAAAAATCAAAATCGTTGCCTCGGTGTAAAAGAACGCTTTTCCTCGCAACGCGTTAGCGATACGTTACGCGCAATTGTATACAACTCGCGCGCGCATGCGCGTATCGCGATCGCATCGTCCAATTATATTCATTCGTGTCGTGGATCGTACGTTGAGTACGTCGTGTCGCGTTTCATGCGTTTGTTCGTGCTTGTGTGTCGTGTACGTGTACGTGTACGTGTATGTGTACGTGTGTGCGTGCGCTCAAGCACATACATATTATCCCCCATTATGTCATCGAAGGGGAATATTTAAAATTCGAAAATCTTAAATAACTAAATGAGAGGAGGGAGAGAGGACAGAGACGGAACGAGACAAAACAATTTCGATTGTCGAATAAATTAGGTTAGTCGGATTCGATAGTGAGAAAGTGGGGAGGGGAGAATGGGTAATCGCGCTTAGTTAGAGAAACAAATAAATAATAATAATAATAATAATAATAATAGTAATAATAATAATAATAGTAATAGTAATAATCGTCACGGGTTCTAATAATACGAGAGAAGAATCCGTGGCTCGCTAGACGAGATGAGGTACGAAACGAAGTTTTGAGAAGAAATTACAAGGAAAATACCCTTCTCGTGTAAGTATACGAACGTGTGTATGTGTGTATGTGTGTGTGTGTATGTGTAGATATGTATATAAATAATCGTGAGTGTATCGAGGACGCGAAATTCGAAGGTCGTATTATCCTGTGGGTCGCGTAGGGCCGTTCTAACATTTTCGACTTATTTACAATGCCCTTCGAGACTGTTCCGAGGCGATCAACC